TTAAAAGCTTTTTTTTACTAATTCACTTGGAAGACCTACAAGTACCGCTTCCTTTCTGTATATTAGCTATCATTGAATTGCCCCCCAGACTCAGCCATTCACTTCTACTGTGCGCCTTCCAATTTCTATCCAAAACTACAAAAACTGCGAGCTAAATTAAATCTTCTTTCTTCTGGTCTGTAGTTCTAATTCTTCATATACATTAAATTAACAGTTTGTGCAACATTTTTTCAACCATATTTTGTGTTAAAATCAAGTAAGTATTTTATTTCTTTACAGCTGAATAAATCAGAAGGACAAAAATAACCTGACTGTATCCTTGTATTGGGATTTTGTGAAGGTTCTCTTTCATCCAGGTCAAGGTATATCTGTAAAAAAAAAAATCAAAGCAACTGGACTTTGCTGTATTTTTGCTGTAACTTTGCTGTAAGACGTTATGCTGGTCATCCCACTAGCTTTCTCAATTCAGAATTGAGAGAACTAGTGAGATGACCAGTGAAATATATTCAAGTAAAATACAGCAAGTTAAGTCACTTTGATTCATTGCTTACAGATATTGTTTTGAGATTCATTTATAAAACTAATATTCTGTCCACAAACCAATACTTTTCAGCGCATTTAGGCATTTTAAATGTAAATTCAATTAAAAATGTGTTGCCTGTTACAAATCTACTGATGTTATAATAGCAATACTATTTTTTTTGAGCTTGAATCTCCTGTATTAAAATATTTCCTGCATTAACATGGATCAAATGTAAATATATTTATTAAAATAGGTTGAAAGAATTAACTTCATATTATTTGGATGATTGATTAGCAGTTTCAGTAGCAATCACTCTACATTGGGTCACCATGCTATGCCGGGGAAATTCAGGACCTTCCACCTCTGGGTGATTTGGTGCTGGCACAGTGCTTTGAGTGGAAAAGTTAAACCACCAAATAGACAGCAGAGGTGCTTAATGGTGCTACAAATGCCTTTGTATGCTAGAAATTATAGAAAGGATGCATTATCAAGTCATGTTAAAAGCATCTGCACTTGATCACAAAGTGAAATGGAATGGAAGTCAATTTTCACACCATTTTTGAGAGCAGATTCTCAAATCCATTAGTAAATCAGACAATGTTTAAGTTGCTATAAATCTAGAAGTTTTTTTTTTATATATATAATTATGGGCATTAGGATTTTGAGGGTCATTTCTGACTATTCAGAACATTTACAGAAACAGAACAGGTAATTTATTTGAAACTTTGATTTTGTATGTATGTTTTTTTAACCTCCCTGGTGGTATTCCCGAGTGTGGCTCGGGGTTAAATTTCCTAGCTAGGAGCGGTAACCCCGAGCCACACTCGGGAATACCCTGAAATCACACTAACCTTGTCCCTCGATCCCCGCGGCATCTCGGCGTCTCCTTCGCACAATGCCGGCATCCGTCTCCAGCGTACGCTAACGTCAGCGTCGTAAGGAGGCGGATCCGGCGCGAAATTCAAAAGTGAAACACCACATACATATTCTAATACATTGTATTATAGAGAAGACAGTGCTATTTCGTTACTTTTTCGATACTGTAACGAATTTTTTCAGCTCAGCTTTGTTCCTATAGATAGTACCAGTGTTCTTCCTGCACTTTTACTATTATATTTGCCTGGAAAACTTGACAGCGTCCATGGCATCAAACAAGCGTCCGCTGAGGTCAAAAGCGGTTTTTGAGCAGCTAGAAAATAGCGATAGTGATGTGGAATCACTTATTGAAAAGAATTGTGACACACCTTGACCGAGGAAGTAGCCTCATGATACTACGAAATGCTTTGTTGGTGTAACAAATCATGTTAGCAAATAAAATGTATCAAGCCAAAGACACAAGCATTCTTTTTTATGGAAAGGCCCAAGATATCATATTTTTATAGGATGATGTGATCCTTTTTTTTTGCCCATCAAAGGTATGCCAAGTATCGGCACTGGTATCTGAACTGGTATCGGTGCATGTATTTCATTTGTGTATTTAGCTGTTTGCCTGGGGGTCAACTTTAAAAATAATCCAATGATCCAGCTGAAAGATTGAAAGACATGTGATGTTTTTACTTCTGTAAATCTCCCCATATTTAAAAGAAATCATAGAAATGTTTTTGTTATAATTCATAAAAAGTTTTTTTAATAAAAAAACATTTAAATCTAATTTGTATTTTCATAATTTAACTTTTTTACAAATGTATTTTATTTCATCAGTATGAATGCCTGTTTCCTAAATACCACAATGAAGCATGGATTCTACATTTCAGCCTTTCCTAACTATGAATACATCTTCTTTGTTGGAGTGTTGCTGTTGTTTTTAATGACGATATGTGGAAACTTGCTAATCATTGTTCTTATATGGATGGCGCCCCATCTTCACACTCCCATGTACTTTTTCCTTTTCAATCTATCAGTTCAGGATGTTGTGCATGTATCTGCCATCTTCCCAAAGCTAATGTCTATTATGTTAACAGGAGATCACAATATTTCTTTTTTAGGCTGCTTGGCACAAATATTTATGTTCATTGTCTGCACAGAAACAGCATTTTTCTTTCTCACATCTATGGCTTATGATCGTTATGTAGCCATATGCTGTCCCCTTCAATATTCTGTCATTATGAACTTTCAGAAATGTTCCCTGATGGCTTCGGCTTGTTGGGTTACCAGTTCCCTAAATTCGGTAATGCACTGTTTTTTGATGTCACAGTTAAAGTACTGCTATCATAAAGCCATCAACCATTTCTTTTGTGATGTGAGGGCCATGTTAAAGTTGACAACAGTTGATACAACACCTATAAAGACAATAATATTTGTTGAAATTGTTCTTTTTGGTTGCATCCCTTTTATACTTATATTAACTTCGTACACACATATTATATTGACTATCCGTAAGATTCGCTCAGCAGCAGGAAGGCTGAAGACCTTCTCCAGCTGCTCCTCACACATTGGCATTGTAATCCTGTTCTTTGGAGCATCCCTGATTCAGTATATGAACCCAGAGTCTGAGCAGACTGAGGAACAGGACAAGTCGCTGTCTTTGCTGTATGTTGCTGTAGTCCCCATGCTAAACCCTTTAGTTTACAGTTTGAGAAACAAAGATGTTTTATTAGCCATGAAAAAAATGATGAACCTGTTCTAATTGATACTGATGTACTTCAGATATAATGTGGACTCTTTGGGGGTGATTTACTAACCTAAACACACGCACACACTAGGTGTGTGTGATTTTTACACAGCAAAACGTATTTATCAACCAAAAAGTCTCTAAAAGCATATTTCCACTAATGCCATATATGGAAAAATCATGCACATGATGCATATATAATGCTGCTTCACAGTTTAGACAAAAATGGTTAGCTCATGCATTTACATTCCTGCATTCATCAACGCAAGCAACACAATGTAGAGCTAATTTACACAACATCACCTTGCAATGCATGCAGGGCTTTGCACAACACACCTACTGGGTGTCTAGATTCCACCAATAGATCATGCTGGGAGGGAACACACACCAGAGGTGTATACTTGTTCGTGGCGTGTTTATAAGGTTAGTAAATCAACCCCTTTGTGTCTCTCCGCAGAAGCGTTGGAAGAAACTGGAAGGCAAGTTGTAAAAGAATGTATATAGATGAAATTATTTTTCTTCTACTTTAGTTTTTCTTCTACTTCAGCCATTTTGTCCACTTTGTCACCTTTTTCTTTTCTACAGAAATTAAACAATATTTTGTATCCTGTAAAATTAGTTTTTAAGCTGTAAGCACATACCAGTCTCAAGCTAGAGCTAACAGGCCATTTTTGAAGGTCGTTTTGGTAGGTTAGGTCTAGGTACATGGGCAGTCAGTATTGTGGTAATCGCTGGAATATTAAACTGGGCATTGTTTTAAGCTGAGACGTGTGTCAGTTTGAATTCCATGCATGAGCATGGTCAAAAAGGGCATTTTTTTTATACAACACACAACCTGTCGATGACAAAGGTGTTTAGTTTCTCTACGTGGGGTTCATAATATTGAATAAGTCTAGGCAGTCTCAGTTTTTTGTTATTTCGTTTTTCGTTATTCGGGTCCCAAAGTCAATTCGTTTCAGTATTTGGATTCATCCGAATCCATCCTTTTCATTCATTTTGGATGCGTTAAATGATATTTACTGTGACGGACTGAACCGTCACTGGGGCTGCTGGAGGAGCCTGGGGGCTAGCCTCCTTCCTACTGACTATGGACCTAGCAATCTGGAGACCCATCCTCAGACCTTTTGGGGTTACATGGAACTAAGACTTGAGGGACTGTTCCTGGAACCCTGAGGATTGCTATGTACGTGTACCCCTTGGAACTAATAACCCTGATTTATGTGTTAAGTTTATTTGCTGCATCTTTCCCCTGGAATAATGTTTAACTCCCCTGTGCCCATTAAAAGTACAGGCTGTGAATCTAGCAGCACTGAAGGGGGTTAATTCTGGGCTAAGACTCCCATTGAACTTGTTACAGTTTATTTGTCCCTTTGTTTCATTGTGTTAATGATGGGACTAAGATAGCTGACTTTAGGAGTAAATGAGTAGATTGCCATGTGATAGACACTCAGCAGGTAATCCCATCACATGTGTCTTCTCTCTCCCTATTCATTCATCAAGGCATCGGGGAGGGGATGGTCTACTTCCATTCTGTTCATGTTTGATTGCGTTATGTTTTTAGACTTCCAGAACTGTATATATACTGTGTTGGTTTTCAATAAAGTCAGTTCTTGGTTTACTCTTCAGCATTAGTGTTGTCTGATGTTTGAGGAGTTTAGTTGTCTGTCCTAATATATTGGTTTTGTCCAATAATTAGGCAGGTTTGGGCTGAGGACACTGGAATTGAGGTTGCAGCGGAGAGGAAGCTGATTTCTGACAGAGGTACCCAGTCGGTCCATTTACAACCAAAAATTTTTTGGAAAAAAGAGACATTAAAAAAGGTGACATGTTTACTTTTTCTTTTTACGTTTTGACCACAGAAATAATAAAAAAGGACGAGCAGAACTGCTCCTAAATTTCAACAAAGAGGCAAATAACTGTCTCAGAATGTTAACAAAGGGGCGGAACAAGTCTGTGAGATTGCAACTCGCTCCACCCCTTTGTTGACATTCGGATGATATTTTGCAGTGAGAGTTCGTCAGGATCAGCAGTATCGGCGGTCATTGGGTATTTTTTCTTTTGCCGAGTCAGTGGCCATAGTCCACCATGATTGACGTGGATCTACATCGCTGGACGATGTGATTGACATTTGAGTTATATTGATGGACTTGTCAAGAACCTCTGTTGTGTTTTTTTTTCAATTAAAAGACTTTACAAACCGGTGTAGTGGGGCACGCAGATCCCTATAAGCCCCCTGCCCACAGACCTTAAAAACCACCGGGCCAGGGTTGTGGGGAAGAGGTCCTTGTCCTCATCGACATGGGTACAAGGTGCTGACAAAGCACCCTCCCCATGTTGAGGGCATTGATGCATGCAAATGTCTGAATTTGCCGATATTTGTACAAATTTCATTTCGGAACGAAACGTCGAAACGTCGATTCACATATGTCTAATGACTAGCTAAGTCTTGATCAAACCTAAAAAATTAGTCTTCAAGGCAACTGTATTGTTAGTGAGGCTGAGTACTGGGTAAGAGTTACATTAAGAGTTTTTATTTCCTTAAAATTTCAGTGAAAATCAGTCAAATCTCAACAGCATTTAATCCATTTTGGCCAAATGTAAAACTGAGATGATTGTTAAGGGTTTTCACAGGTACAATTGGCTTAAAATGGCTCCTAAGAGTTACAGAAGGTCCTTCCAACTCTGCTGAACCTGTTCCATAGTAATCTCAGTATTTTACATTTTATTTTCACATCACAAGAAAAAAAAAAGCGAAAAAAGTAAAATATAAAATAACATTAGTACAATCCTTGAAGGCTACATCTTTGACCAGATTCTGAAATGTGTTCCCACACCACTGCCACCATTTGCTACACGTGCCCTTTGACCGCACTATGCCTCAACTCAAGCAAAGCAGACCCATCACAGAGGTCTTAGCGTGTGCATGGTGAACTCAGATACCTCTGTCTCCTGTGCGGCCTGCCACTGCATAGTGATGAAAATGGGGAAAGAGCAGCTGGCCTTCCCTTGCCTAAAAGAGAATCTTTAACACATTGAGATCTCCGGCAAAGGATTGATTGTATGCTGCATACAGCTCTGCATGCTACATCTAAATGGGTCACATACAAGTTCACTAAGAACTGGGATATATGTGAGCTAAGCCAACTGTCTGCCAACTTAGAAACTCAGAAGGATGCTGCTGCATTTACAATTGAGGCCCATGACAAAGATCTACATGTTCTAGGGATGAGACTGTGACTTTATATTCCAAATTGCAGGACCCGGAAAATAGATTCAAACAATCCAACCTCTAAATTTGAGGTATCACCAAATCTCTTGAGGACCTCCAATTTACCATAAATGCTTTCATTCAGGAGCTCACCCTATCTATCCCAGTGAAAAGGCAGATGTTTAAAGGGATATACTGTGAACTAACTTGCTGCATCACAGATGGCCCACACAAGTACATAATCTCCAAATTTCTACACTACCAGAGCAAAGAGAACATCCTGCACGAAGCATGCAGTAAAGACAACATGCGTTTCCAGGCCAGATTTCTGCTGAACTTGCTTTACTAATTAGTATATCAGTATAAAGGGTACCACTCTTTCTAACATCCAGAAAGACCTAGACAACTGCTGCCTTTCTCACATGCAGAACTCCATATCATGTAATTTTTCCAGCCCACCACAAACATCCTTTAAATCTTGAATCACAACCATGTCTATATTATTTTCAGGAGTCCGCACAGCCAGATGACACACCTTGCCAGCCTCACCAAGGTCAGATTCAGACTCTGTGAGATGAAAACCACACCTGGTCCACCAGAAGCAATTTGACCTGTGGGTCACAATATACCTGCACATACTGTTTTTTCCAGATAGTTGTTTTTGATCCTTGATATCTCTGCCACATGCAGGGGCAATAACTTACCAGTTCGAGGCCATGTTCTTCATTGGCTCCCTTTTTCTCATGATGTACTGCAAATCCAGACTGCCAAGGAATGAGTTACCTCAACATTTTAGTCCGGGAGGCGTGCCATCTAGCCTACTGTGATTGTCTGAGTATGATTGCTTGTCACCAATTTGTCATGACCAAAATCAAGGATTCCTCTGAACATTAAGATTAGTAATGAGCTGAATGTACCTGGGTTCGGTTTGGAGTGGATACAGCAAATTTTACTTAAGTTCAGGTACCAAGTCCAAACCCCATTCAAGTCAAGGGAAACTATGGGGTCTATTCACGAAGCTGCCGAAGGATCTGGCCGTAGCTTCGGCCGAATAAATTATTACTGCCCATTTTCTAGGTTTCTAGACAAGTGTATGGGTGACTGGGCAGTACCCTGGAGGACATGTACCAAAGCAAGAACAAATGTTATGGCTAGGAGCAGTGCTTTATGTGCAACATTAAATATGCATAATTCCTTTAACCACTTGCTGACCCGGGTGTTACACTCCCTTCCTGGCCCGGCCATTTTTCAGTATTCAGCGCTGCGGTACTTTGACTGAAATTTATTCCGTCATGCAACGCTGTACTGAAACAAATTTCATAAATTTTTAGGGACAGATAGAGCTTTCTTTTGGTGGTATTTAATCACCACTGGGGGGGGGTAATTTTTTTACTATATAACAAAAAAGTACCTTAAATTTTTGGGAAAAAAAGGTTTCCCTATGAAATGTTATGAAAAAATTCTTATCACCCCAATTTTTTGGGTAAAATATAAAAGACTGGGTAATGTCGGGTAAATAGACATCAAACATGTCAAGCCTTAAAATTGTGTGGGCGCCCAAAATCACAGAAAACGATCACACCCAAAATCGGCTATAGGCAATGCTTTTAATGCTTTTACCGATCATCAGTTTAGTGTTATCAGTGATTGATGACCCTAAAATTATTGCTCTCACCCCGACGTCCGTGGCGATATGTAACATGTGTGGCATAATGGGCTCAATCATCGTTTTTGCACATAGGCGCACCCGACGCATATTTGCATGTCAAAAACTAAACCAATATGGTTTAATAAAACTGTAAAACAA